GTTCCTGACCCACTGACAAGCAGTGGGAGCTCCCTGGGCATCATGGAGCCCTGAAGGAGGCTCTTTGTGGTGGGGTCCTTCTTCCCAAGACATCGGGGACATGCCCTTGTCAGGAAGCCTGCTCTCCCCACATACACGCCCATCCCCAACGGAGAAGTGAACCTCGGGCTCATTATGTGGACACTTGAGGACAGGAGTCCAGGGAAGACTCGGTACAGGCGTGGAGAGAGAGGCCACAAGAGAAGGCCTGCGTACCTCGGCGAGGCGGGAGCGCAGAACCCGGCCCAGGGACAGGGACTGGACTGTAAGAGCTCTCCCCTCGTCCTCAGTGGTGTCTCCCTTCTTAGGATCTTGCCCTGGTTTGGGCAGAATCTATTCCTTCCTGAGAACTGCAAGAAGGCACTCAAATGAGTGGTACTGATGTTCAGTCGATTTGGGAAGGGCAGGTCTGCAGGCTGAGCCTGCAGGAGCCCGGGGTGACTCTGGTCACACAGCAGTCTCTGCTTCTGTCCCAGAACCACCTGCGCAGAAGGCTGGGCAGACTCACTGTGCTTGGAGCTCTTGATGAACTTCTCCTCCTTCTTGGGCTGCACGGACACCATGTACTGGCCATGGGTGCTGGGCTCAGGCACTGGGATCTGGCACCAGTGCCGGGTGTAGGGGCTGCTGGGCATCTCAGTCAGCACTGGGGTGCACTCCATCCACCTGGGGAGCACCATGGGGTGAGGACGGGAGGAGGGAGGACTGCTGGAGGGGAGACTCCAGCAGGAGCTGGGGCCTCTGCTGGGCCTCCCAGGGTCAGGGCAGGGCTGGGAGGAGGGAGGCCCACTCACTCTGCCTCTGGGCTGGGCTTGTAGAAGAGGCTGAAGGGGATGGAGCGAGCCACCTCGGACCTTACTTCCCAGGAGCAGCTGAGCACGTGGGCTCCATTGAAGACACACTGGAGGTTCTGGGGCTGGGCCTCATCGCCTGTGGGAGATGCGTGGTCCATTCCCTCAGCCACCCCTCATTCATTCATGCTGTGGTGCTCGGTGAGAGCCCATGGCAGGAGGTGCTCCCTCATTCGTTCCCTCATACCCCCCTCATCCATTCATTCATTCACACTGTAACCCTCAGTAAGTGTTCCGTGGAGGGAGATGCTCCTCCATTCCTTCCTTCCTCCACCTCTCATTCATTCATTCATTCATACTGTAACTCCCCCATAGGAAAGGGAAGAGGGGTCTCTGAATGTCAGAGTTTGGGGGCTGAACTTTAGGGGTTAGGACCAGCTATGGAGGGTCCAAAAGTCAGGACCCAGGACACAGCCCTGTGTCGGGGAACTCAACAGAAGTGGCCATGGTCAGGGGAAGCCATTGCACAGTGGGGATTCTGAGGACCCTCCTGCCCCAGGAGCTTGAGGTGACCCACCCTCCCACTAACAAGCCAGTCCCCAGCTCTGACCTGGCTGGGAGTCCCAGTGGACCACAGGGCTCCACTCACTGGGCCGCCCTGAGAGCCCTGTGCCCGGGGCCAGCCGGGTCCGCACTCGGGCCACGTAGGTGCTGCTGGGCACGAGCTGTCCGGTCCCCAGAGTGGCCTGGGAGGAGTTGGAGTAGAGGGTGCTGGCCTCCTGTAGGGACAGGGAGCTGGAGGAGGCTGGCCCAGCTGGTCCCACTGGGCTGGGCAGAGATGGCCATGCATGCTTCCCTACCTCCCAGGAGTCCTGAAGTCGCCTATAGACCAGCTCAGACTCCAGGTGGCCCTCAGACAGCCAGTGGCTCTGGGGGTCCCCAAGGGGCGTCCTCCAGCTCAGCAGGAAGTGGTCCCCTGTGTCATTGACCTGCAGGTCCTGGGGTGTAGGGGGCTGGACTGGAGGGGGAGGAGACAAAGGACAAGTCAGGGTGGGGTTGGAGTAAGGGGTGGGCAGAACCCTATGGCCTTCTGTATGGACAGACCAGGGCTTGCAGGTCCAGGGCTGCCCTGACCACTGAGTGACCCTGGACCAGACAGCTTACCACTGCCTACGGGCTGTCCCCTGTGACTCCTGTGGGATCAGGTGAGGACGTGGACAAAGCTGTGCAGGTGCCCCGCCCTGAACATGGGAGCCCAGATCGGGGTGCTGACCTCAAGGCAATCAGGCCTCCTCCCTCTGGGGGGCCTTACTGCCCACAGCCTGGTCTCTGTGGCCTCCTTCCAACAGAGGGCGCTGTGCTCCCGTTACTCTGTGCTGTGTCCACTCTGCTCCTCTTCCCCCACCTGCTCTCTCCCCAGGGCCAAGCCAATGCCTAGGACAAATGTCCTGCTCTGGACCCTTGGCCACCCCCCTCTCCTTCCCCTGGAGTCGAGTCTCTTTCTTCTTCTCTTGTCCAATTTGTTTTATCTGTCGCTGTGGCAGTGGCTCAGCTTACTGATCGCCATCTTTACAACGGAATGAGATCTTGCCCAGTCCTGCCCCATCTTCACGATTATCGGCATGTTCGAGTCCATTTTTGCAGTCGTGGTCCACCGTGCGTGTGTTCCACCTGAGCCCTTTGTAAGCCCTTCCCCCCATGGTTTCTGTCTTCTCCTGTCCTCTTCCCCAAGGAGGGCTGCTTAGGGAAGAGAGGCGTTGAATGTCACTCTCCCCAAGGCCTGAGATGTCTCCGCAGGGGAATCGTGGGAATGATGGGAGATGAATGAGTGAGTGAGTGCATACATGCAAACTACTTTTACATGCTTCTCACGAATCACTGCCAACTGGCGGGGTGCGCCTGTCTGTTGGCACCGATGAGAAGGTGCATGCAAGAATGACACAGCGGCTGCTTTCTCGAAGTTTCTGTGTCTCATGGTGGAGGGATGACTTTCACAAGCACATTATAAAAATCAGGAACAGGACACACAGGTGCCCCGCGCATGGATGGCAGTGTGCTGCAGCGGGTCGGAGCTGGAGCCTTCCAGAATCCCTTTGACCGGGGCAACAGGCAGCAAGTCCTCCCCGCCCACAGCCAGGGCAGGCATCACTAATCGATCATCGCACTCTTAGCTCCTGAAGCTGACCAGGAGGCCAGCCCTTTGCCCAGAACCTTCCCAAGCTGTACCTGCTCCAAAGCCTCATGATGAGGAATCCATAGTCATCCCTCAAGTCAAGACCGAACTCCCAGTGAGTGTCTCCACCCCTTGAAGACCCTGGCTCCCTGGTCCTCCTCCTGGTGACCACTGTCCCACCTGGGGACCCCAGGTTCTCACCGTGCTGGGTCAGATCCACGGTCAGCTGGGCTCCGAGAGGCCTCTCTGGCTGGAAGTAGTAATAGTCATTTTCGCTGAGGACAAAGATGTCGTGGTGGAAGACACACCTCCTGGACACACAGGGTGGCGATGGGCAGGCTGACCAGGACTCGCCCTCACTGAGAGCGCAGGACGCTGGCTCCGGAGGGTCACTGCCGGGAGAAGACATGCGTTAGCTCGTAGGGAACGAGGATCCAAATTAGAAAACCGGAAAGGTGGCCACGCGTCAGACTGCCCAGGGGCAGGGGCCACGGCCCATTTCTGCCCAGCGAGTGGACACGTTGAAGAAGGACCTGGTAACATCACATGGAGACAACATGACATCGGCAGAGCCCGGGTAGGGGTGAGGAGGCTGGAAGGGGTGGGGGCAGTGGGGGCAGTGTGAGAGATACAGGGCATTTGGACAGAATTCGAAGGGGAGAGGGTGTAGCAGACACAGACTGCCTGCGTGTGTGACTCTGGGGAACCCCACTTTTGGGGGTGCCTGTGTCTCTACCCGGGCTAGGAAGCAGGTCACAGGCTGAGGAACGGGGAAGGTGACCGGAGGATGAGGAAGGTGGAAGCGGGAGTGGTGGCAGGAGAGGGCTGTGGCCGTGGCCGTGGTCGTGGACGCGGAGGCCAGCGCCGGCTCCTCCTGCGGGCAGTCTCCACGAGGAGACTCTACCCAGATCACTCTTGATACATCCTCGTAGCTCTGCACTTCCAAACGTGCGCAGCAGAGCAGGCACCCGTGGCAACGAGTTTCCGCAGGTCCATCCAGCGACACTGGGCGCTGAGCTGCCGTTCTTGCCCTCTCCTCAGAGCGCTCTTCCCTCGCAGGAGTTTCATTGCCCCTGGGCTGGCTGATTCAGCCCCTCACCCACGTCCCCATAGGATGCACGCACCTTCCCCCACTGCACATGCGCGGTACACACAAGCCCAGAAATGAAGCAGCCGGAGGGGGCGGGTCTGGAGGAGAGGCGAGCAGCCTGGGGGCCTAGGTGGGCTCTAAGTTAGGCCCCCCCCTGTGAACTGGGCATCCTACCCCTGCCCTGCCTTCCTCACAACCCGGAAGAAGGGCGATACGGCCCGTGGGGGTCTTGCCCCCCTGAGCAAGTGGGAAGTCCTTACCACCATCATCAGGGGACCGCCCTATGGGACCCCGACACCCAGACCAGCTCCCCACAGGCTCTCCTGGCCCCCCATCCCCACGTGATGCTGGGTCTCTCCCCACTCCCTGTGCCCCCCAGGCCCTGGGTCACTCACTTGTCCACTCGGCGATAGAGGGTCACATTGACGAGCCGCTG